TGGTGGACCGCTCTGTGACTTTTCCTTATTTCGTAGCAGTTACATACTGCACCACAAAAGGGATAATTTCAACAGCTCGCTCAACAACAGGGACATTTTCTAACCAACGATGTCTGCAAAAATCCAGTGCAAAACTATTAGACCCCGTTACGCTTGTGTAATCCTCACGGTGGGCAGGAGAATCTTTAAACAGCCATCTAACACTTGTAAGAAAAGTTTCAACATCCCACTCCGCTGCAGAACATCCATCCCTAAAGGAGTTGTGAATCACATGAAGGCCACAGCTTCCAACATTCAACAACTTCTTTCCAGTTTACTTTTTCACATCCTCCTGCATCAATCTAAACACTTTTCAGTTCACGTTACGACCATCCATGGGAAGTTGAGCAAGCTTCTTATAATCAAGGTCACCACAAACTGATTCAAATTTGTCTTGTACTGCTTCAGTATCTGCATGGCCCAAAAAGTATGAAGTGAAATACCGCGACTTTACTTTATCAGCATTCCAGTACCTGACAGCACATCTAACTGTTTACTTTGCATTTCACTGTTTATACTTTCGTCAAATAGCAAAACTTCAGCACTCAGACTGATCAAGGACTTTTCTCTTCAACAATGAGAGAAAATGAGGTGCAATTCCAAAAGCTGACAGATATGCAGCTTTCCTTTCCCCACAGGCAAAATGTTTAGCTATATCACTGTCTGGAAACTTAAAATTAAAGATACTGTTTATCCCTTCACACGATTTTATGAGTTATGTCGAGTTATGACTTGTTATCACCTTTAGTGTCCAGCAGATCTCTGCCTCCAATGTTGCATTTGCGCCAAGAAAAGACTGGGTACTTTGCGATGCTTGCTTTGCGGGGCCAGTTCCCGTGGCCACTTGCGATGTTTCTGTTGTTTGCTGTCGACGATTTCCAGTTGACTGTGCGATCGTTGTACTTGCTGAAGAGCTAAAAAATCGCTTATTTTTCTGGTCTTTTCATTGCTTTGAAGACATTTTTACGTATTTTGTATGTTTCTTGCCTTTCACATGGCTCACCAAGGCTGACTATTCCATTACATTCAGGTCGATGCTTTTCTTGCATGCAAAGCAGAACGCTTTGTTTGGATTCTTGTCGTCTTTCTGCAGCCATGACTTATACTAATCTTTTTCCAGCCATTTTTCATTAAAACGGCAGCTGGCAGGCATTGTGACGTCCAGGTTAACCCGCGAAACAATTACAGAAACGCCAGAAAACGAGAGCTTGAAAACACGTCCAAACCAGACATCCGCTGTGCAGTTGTGGCTCAACGTACATGCGCTGGAGTAACGAGAGAGCATTGGGAACCATTCTCGTCCCTAGAGCCCGTTGAGCCCGTCGTTTCTTGGTCGCGCGGTCGGGACTGGTCACTGGTCGGTTACAAATTAAGCCGAGTTAGAGTGGCTCTGGGGACGAGAATGATTGGGAACGAAAACAAGCGGACAGGGCTGAATAACGTACTGCGCATGTCCGTGACATCACTTGTTTACTTGTCTAACCCGTGCGCGAAACACTCGGGCAAAGTGAAATTCTTGCATCTGAGACCATTTTATCTTCGACCATCTAAACTCATATTTGTGAATGCCAACGAAGGAGAAGTTCTACGAATACGTTAGAAATGCAACTCATGGAAAGAAATGTTACGTAATCCAGGGATCAAGAAAAATGTTTTTGACCGTCCCGGCGAAGGTTTTTCATTGTTTTGATGCAGATCGTCAGTAAGTTTGCAGAAAGATGACTGAGAAATTAAAAAAGAGCAATGCTGGAGTTTGGGCGACTTTTCTTCGATGGTACATAAACGATTTACCTAAACATTACTTTATTCTGGTTAGGGAGGAGCAAATCTTTGAAATGTAGGCCGAGCGATAGCAGTTGTTGACCGTTTCTTGGTGGCAAGAAAGCCGGCTTTGAGCGCGATGATACCATCAGACACAAGAAGTCATGAAAGTCATAAACTTAGTTACAAATCTTAGTGCGATGAAAGAAGCTTTTTCGTACCTCTAGCCGGCTTAGAGGCGCTGGTCGAGCTGTAGAATCAGTATTTATTCAGTTAAGTTTGTTTAAAATTTAATTTGCACCTTTAAGCTTATTAATGAATAAACTTTTAAAGTTTAAAGCTGTTGAAGTTTTGAGAAACAATCACAAGTTGGCTCAGCTCTATGTGAGTTTTCGTATTAACTATAGGTTTTCCATTTATGACAGGATTGAATGAAGCAGAAGAATCAAGGAATGAAGATCTAGACCTCGAAGAGAAAAATAAATGAAAGTTCTTCTCCCTGTAATGAAGCTTTTTAGAGAACTTTAAGTCATTGATACTATTGATACTTTTACCAGCAAGCATCGACTGTATTACTTACGCATTTACTCTTTTCAACATTAATTTTGCCTGTTGTCATATACAAAAATTTATAATAGCTCTTTTGAGCTGAGCTAAGAATGAGTCATAAAGGGAAACAAGTTTGGAAGAAAGAACTTGATTGAATTCGAAACCTCAGTGATTGTTTTGTGTTCTTACAGTTTTTATAAAAACGAGATATAACAAGAGAAATAACTAAAAGACCATCATTCAAGGAAAAACGAAGATAAATAAAATGTACCTTCTAATGCTGACACTGATATGATGTCCGGACGATTTCTTAGAACTGATAACATATTGACAGTCTGTACTTTCATTTCTGTTTACGCTTGAGAATGTACACATTCGAATGAACTGTTTTCGGCTTCGTCCGTGCATCTTCTTTTGTTCATGGCAAAAAAAGGAAGAAAAATTGCGAAGGTGGAAACGAGAATTCAGTAAAGTATGAGATAATCTACCTTTAGTTTAAATGGGAGCCTTGAATATTCGGAAACCACCCCAAAAATCAGGAAAATGTGAGGATGTTTTGAAAATCCTTTTACAAACAATACTATTTATAGCGGGGACGCTTCTTTCGTGCGTCTTCTTTTGTTCATAGAAGAAAGTAGAAGAAAAATTACAAAGGTAGAAACGAGAATTAAATAAAGTATGAAATAATCTACCTTTAGTTTTAATGGGAATCTTGAATATTCAGAATCCACCTTAATAATCGCCAAAATGTGAGGATGTTTTGAAAATCCCTTTGAAAAGGATACTAGGTTACATCCCAGACCTCTCCCGTCTCTGCACATGCGCAGACGTTGTTCAGCTCTGTCAAACAAGCGTTTTTACGCATTTTGTGAGCATTTCGAGAACGTCATACTTTGTTTACCTGAACATTCCTTTTCACTGGCTTTCACTTACTTTAAAACCCTAAAGCATTAATATTTTTCGATCTTCTTCAATAAAAAATCAAGGACTTTCAAGGACCAAAAATCAATTTGAAGTACTTTCAAGGCCTTGAAATCGGACTTCTGAAATTCATGGGTTTTCAAGACGCGAACGAACCTCGAAAATTGTAAGTGTTCTTTGCTTTTGAAGCTGATGACTATGTGTTAGTACTGACATTTGTATCTAAAAACTAGTGACTTGATGGCCTTCTGAGAAGGCACTTTTAGCAAAAACCTCACGAGGTGTTGTGTAGTAAAACTATAAAGAACTAGTTACAAAAGGATGGTCTTTCTAATTTTAACCTCTAGAAATAATACCTTCACCTTATGAAAGTGCTTATAGTTGCTGCTGATCGGTGGATACCCTTACTCTTCCGTAAAAAAAAAATAATACTTTTACGAACAGTTAAGAGTTTTAAGTATTGCCATTTTCTGTTAAAAAGCTCCATTCCCCGCTACGCTCCTCTTGTCCGCGCTGAAATAAGCAGGAAGAAGGACCATGGAAACATGGATAAACCTTAGAACAGCGACAGGCGACAATGCCGTTTAACGTTGCGACGCGAAACAAAGTGGATTTTAACAACTGAAAATTGAAGGATTGTCGTTTCAAGAAAACGAGGAGAGTCTATTCAGGTAGTGGCAGTTAATTTAATTCAGACAATGTGTATCAGGCACAAACTGCCATTATTACATGGTTTGTGTTTGTACCATCATAACAAAGACAACACGGTCCGTATCAATGAGTCTGAGATAACAATCAAAGTCAACTAATTATAACTAATGAGCTAGCGCTCCCTGGACATAGCTGGGTGGAGTATAGTAAGAGATGCTGTGAAAGTTTTCCTTTACCCCAGGACACTATTAAAATAGTGCTTGCTTAGAGAAAAATAGCTTGAGAAACGGCAAGTTCTTTTGTGCATATAGCGAAGTACTCATCATTCAACTCTTTACAAAGTCCTATTGGGGAGCAAGGGATGGCGCAGTGGTGAGAGCTCTCGCCTCCCACCAATGTGTGTCAATGATCCCGCGTCGAGCCATATATGGGTTGAGTTTGTTGTTGGTTCTATCCTTTGCTCCGTGAGGTTTTTCTCCGGGTACTCCGGTTTTCCCCTCTCCTCCTCTCCTCCTGCTTGCGAAATGATAAACTTTTGAATTGCCGTGTTTGAAAATTCTGCAAAGATCTATTTTTAAACTTACGCGTGATTTGATCTGTCAATCAAATCGTACTTTTTAATCGTTTCCTCTCTGATTTTGTTGAGATCACTTCGTGTGTATATACTAAAACAATTATTCTTTTCAATCTCGGTGAATAGTGGCTTTGGGAATATTTTAATATTTAGCCACTGTTCACCTCGATTTCAAAGAATAATTGTTAATTAGTAGGCGAACGCAGACGGATTTATTTACAGTTATTTTTCGGGTGGAGCGACGCGACGACCAAAAATGCGTTCGTAGGCTAAAGACCTGTGGACGGCTCAGTAAAACCAGTATTTAGAGAAGCGATGGCTGTGCAAAGCCTGTTCGCGAAGGATTATGACAGAGAGCCTCAACTAAAGTAAAATGAACATGGACAGAAGTGAGTACAGCTTGCTACTTTGCGCCTTGCTTTTGCAGATCCTATCCAGAAAGCGCTTATATTTTATCTCGAAGTAAATCGTAGAGTACCAGACCATGACTGAATATTTACGAGGATCACGTCAGTCTCATGTTAAGCGCGTCATCTGGTGGTTTATCAAGATACATCTCATGAACATCAGAGCTGTTAAACAGTACTGGGGTTTGATGAGATGTGCGGGAAGATTCAGTAGATTTCTTCTGAGGAAAGATAGCCTTCTGAAGTTCAGCATCTTCACTGTATGGTGTCTCCAAACGCTTGAGAAGTTTTTGTACCTGTAAACCAATATTTGACTCGATTGAAAATAATAAAATGAATGCTGAATGCATTCTTCATTATCTAGGCAAAATGAAACCTCCAAGCATTAAGACTTTTGCAATCACGTATCTCTGAACAAGGTAAAGGACGCAAAAAGGAGAGGGGGAGGGGGGGGGGAAGAAAAGTGCAAAAAGGAAAAGGAAAGGGAGCTTTACCCTCTCTCCCCAACCCCTCTCCCTTTTCCCCTTGCTCCCCATTCCCTACCCCATTTAGACGCCTGCTACGCAGGCTAGATGAAGGTGTATATCATTCCAAGGGTTTAAGCGGGGAAAGGGGTCGGCGTGTGATCAGTAGACAAACCTTGTCTTCCCGTCATTTTACCTATTTTTGTAACCAACAAAAATAATTACGAAACTAGATGGTAAAAAATGTACAATCCCTACAGGCGCAAGAATTTGAAAAAAAAATTAAACAAAAATAAGTCAAACAAGTATGGTGCACAGTTTGGGGAGTTGTTGTGGTTGTTATTTCCTTCTCTTCTTTTCTTTTCTTTTACTTTAAGTAAAGCGTTGACACTAAATACTCCACACCAAATAATACTGTATGATAAAATGCGTAGTTTCAGGTTTGTTGTTGGTTCTCTCCTTTGCTCCAAGAGGATTTTCACTGGGTACTACGGTTTTCCCCTCTACTCAAAGACCATTATTTCCAAATTCCAATTCGACCAGGAATCAGGTAGACGAAGATTGGATATGCTACCTCCAAATCATTTTTAGTTATTTAATTTTTAATAAAATACTTCCGGTAACATCAGAAAGGACATAAACGAATTTCACCCTGTCCTTACCACAGTGAAATCGCCACTTTCCGCTGCCTCTATTGCATTCTGAGCGATGTAATTTCTTAAAATAAATCTAAAGAGGGAATATACAACAGTTAAGAATGATTACTGAGCTGCCAAACATTTATCTCAAAGCCTTGATTATAGAACTCTGGCTAAGGAATAGAACACTCCCATACTAAGAAAACCCAGATCATATCAGTTCATCTCCTGCAAATTTGTCATGGTCAAGGGTTAGGAAAAAATAGATAAATTTAGGAGAACTTTGGACTAGAAAGAAGACAGCCATCGCGTATAACCTGCCAAACCCGCAAAAACCTATCCTCCTTTGAAGGTTTCTCTGGTCAATTTGAGAGTTCACAAAGATTTCCAAAACAGGGCATCACGAAACTGCATTTTCAGTCTTCTTCTAACAAAACCGCTCTGTTCCGACCAGCATCAATTGAAGAAGCTAGCTAGAAGTGACTTTCCTCTAACTGAAGCCTGGGGAAGAAACCACCCTGCCATTTTAATAGCACTTAATCAATTGGATGTGATTAGATGTACGACTATTTATCGGATGATAAGTTTATAGCGACATATATATCTCCAAAACGTTACAATACAACAGTAAAAAGTTATTATTTCGCACCTTGGATTGTTCGAGTTCATTATCCCGATCCGTTTGTTATTAACCTATGTTAGGGGAAAAAATACAACATTTACGAGACTGAAAACAATCGAATACCGCCGCCTGGTTAGCTCAGTTGAGAGCGCCGACCTGCTGGGCGGGAGGTCGCGGGTTTAAATCCCGACCGGACCAACACTCAGGGTCTTAAAGTAACTGAGAAGAAAATGCTGCCTTTGTATATTTTTGATGACATCTGTAAGCAGTTAGACTTCCCGGATAAGGACGAAAGTAGCGGGTCCCGTCTCACAACACTTTCACTTGTCTGGTTCTTGTCGGACGTAAAAGAACCACACCACTGTTCGAAAAGACTAGGGGACGTAGACCCCAGTGGTGTGGCCAACCTTTCCTGGGTTGGGTGGGTTATCTGTAAGGAGAGATCTTAATATAGGGATAACCTCATGATCGTCCTTCAGGAGTTCTAATGGTAACTGTAAACAGTATATGTAATATGTAACCTACGTTTGTAATCCATGCAATAATCTGAAAGGTATGAAGTGGATTACCGGTAATAAGTCTTCCTTAATAAAACCGTCGAACATAAAAAGCAGACTTCCTATTGAAAAAATGCATAGTCCAAAAGAATCGATTCCAAGTTAAATTCCTTTCCAGCACCTTGCTACTCAGGTTCTCTCTTTCATTCGCCTCACGTGACTCCCATGACCCAAAAGAAGAAAGAGCCTAGTCACGACATTTTTTTTACCTGATCTGAATTCTGCTGCCCATCCAACTCCTGATCAAGGCGAACTCTGGAGAAAAACAAAGATGTAATTATGATAACAATGGGTGCTTGACAAACCAAGCACTGTGGGCGCTGGTTTTTAACTTGCAGCCTCAATCGGCGGTGTATAAAATCGCTATCAGTCAGTTCAAGGTAATAGTAAATAAAAATAACTTACTTATATTCTCCGATCCATTCCTTCCATAATTTCCTGTCCCTTCTCTCCTTCTCTTCTTGAGTTAACAACTGAGAAAAGTGAATTTATAGGAAAGCGTTACTTAAGCCCCCTTCAAGACAATAATAGAAGTACTAGCTTTTTTTATAAGCCCAGTATATTTTGCCGTTTCCTGTTATATAATGACGATGTTTATTATGGAAAATGTGCAAATCCTTAGTATTAAGACACAACACCACTGGGCATCCTAACCCTAACCCATGGGTATTGTACCACACTTTCAATCCTTTTCCTCCTTAAAGGCTGGCTATTCCACTGCGGGTTACCTCTAACATATTTCTCTGCTATCCATTTTTGCACCAAATCAAAGCGAAAAAACAAACAACCATCTACCCGCCGGGGATCACAGGAGTGGGATGGAGACCACTGACATTCGCCATTTTTGGCTGTGTAAAAAGTGGCTTACAAACACAACGTTTTGAAGGTAGAGCCTGAGCATTAAATCAGAGACTTCAAGCATGAAATGCTTGCACGTCCCAAAGAATATGTCAAGTACAGGGCATCTCGTATCCTATTAAAGGGACAGTGTCCTGATTATGGGCACGCGCGAGCTTCATCTGCTTTTTCTTAAAAAGACAATTGAACTGTCATATTGACGCGACAAGATTTCCTTCCGCCGACGGAGATTTGTAGTTTACATTCTCAAGTCGCTAGCTCGGCCGCCTCGCGGCCCGAAAAGCTCGTTCCGCTCGCTTTTAAAACAGCTTTTCTGCTGTGAAACTCGTGTCAGAGGTCAATTTGTGGCAAATCCAAGTCCAGTAATATTTGCTGGCGTTCTAGCCTCAAAAGTTCGAAATATAAAAATAAAAATTCAATCTCAACGCGATGAAGCATTGCAAAGGTTAGTCAAACATAATATTATGATTTCATTGCACTCGTTTCTCAAAACATGTACAGTGTAGTGCCTGTTTGTTTGATTTTAACGGCCGTAGGGAGGTTTATTTAAAAGTTTACTAACGCGTCGTTGCAAAACACTGTACTTCACGAAGCTTCATCCATGTCTCAATGGTTTCTTTTTTACATAGTCTTTATTGTTGCTGTTCCATTTCTGCGTATTCCTTTCACGATTATCTGAGCTTGTATGAAAGCTGGCGTGAGAAATAAGCCTTCAACTGACATTAAAGCGCTTCCCTTCTCTTGGTCCTCCAGCCAACGGCAATAAAAGTAACGCCAAAAAATCCCGATTTCGCCCAAATCGAAAGTGAATGGGAACAATATATCCTTGACCTGTAATTCTGAGAAGATTTAGCGTAGTATCGAACTCGGCCAAGCGCGATGCAAACGGATTTTTAAAGGTTCTTTTACTCTTCTCGCATCGTTTAATTTCGCGACAGGATGAACAGAAATCAAATGCTAACGGAAAATTCTGAGCATGCGCAGAATCGGGATACTGTTCCTTTAGGGACGAACCTTAAGTTTCCGCACTTTTTCCTTGCGTTCTTGGTCATCTTTTCGATGCTTTTCAGCTTCCATTTGTAACTGAGATATCACATTTGGACTTGACTGCCAAACCTCACGAGACATTTCCATCAGTTGACTGAAATCAATACAATGATTTGGTAAGAGAAAACAACGAGTCAGTATATAGTTGGTTAGGAAAATTGGAGTGGTTAACAATTGTGTATGGACAGTATTTTCGCAGTTTTGTTGCACTTTACTAACCTGAGTAACTCTCTAAACCAAAGAAGAAAAACGGATCCGAAGGGTGTATATCAGTGCGAAAAGGTCCGCGTTGGAGTCCCCTTATAGTAGCTCATTAATCTATCAACTTAGTTAACAGGAAGCAAAAAGAATTGAACTTGCAGATTTCAGGCGCTGCGCTTTTTTCCGGAAAATTGGGAGTACTGAAAACTGCCTATTGGCAGCCCAAACCTCGCACGTGATTTGAGAGGTAGTTTAGAGCCCAGGCCCCAGTTGTTCAAAAGGTAGATAAGGCTATCCACTGGATAAATCTCTATCCAGTGGATAGCGCAATTGGCTGGATAGTGACTTGTCCGGTGGATAGTGCTATCCAACGTTTGAACAACCCGGGCCTGATGTGGATGGGCTCACGAACTCTTGGACAAAACCAATCAATCACCAATAACTAAAACCATCACTTCAACGATGATTCATTTGAATGTTTGTTGTAAAGGACTATTCAAAGACTGACCTCCAATCTAAAAAATTTGATCGGGTTTTTATCATCCCCTGAAGCGAGACACACTCGGAGACCAAATATTCTATTATGTCTTGAGCGTCTTTATCACTGAGAATAAAAACGAACATAACCACATTAAAGACTGTTGACAAGATCACTACTACAGCATTGATGTTAAGGCATACTTAAGCAGGTTCCATAAACTTCCAATTCTAACAAATCAGTCTTGACTCATTCAAACATGATCAAACACCATGCAAAAACATTTAGCACCGTTTGATAACACTAAACACCAATCAAAAAGGTCCAACTTTATTGGATGAAGTTGCACCAGTCATATGTTCCATCAATCTGTGCCACTGGCTTCTAAAATATGAAAACAATTTCTTGTTTGATTTTAAGAGATAGCACTCCAGCGGAAAAACTTGAAAATTCACAGACAGAAAAACGTTTACCAACTAAAAATAGACTCACAATAGTAAACCAAACGGCGAAGAAAGAAGCTCTCACCTTTCTGCTGAAGTGCAACTTGATGGTGATACTCGGCTAAGACATCTGAAGGTGTTTGTGAAGTCTGCCCCGGTTTGTTCCATGGTATCAAGAAGAGATGTGATAAGATTCCTAGAAAAACATTGCTTATTAATCAACACAAGAAATGATTGTCTGAAGTGGGAATTTTCGGGCAAAGTTTACATAGGTGGTCAACATGAGTCGTTTCTCACATTTACAGCTTTTTTGTTAGTCTGCATTGCCTGACTCTAATTTGTTGTAAGTCAAGTCTGGGAAAAAAAATACAAAATTGTTTCAAACTAACAAACACAACGTGAGCGCGTTTAAAAATAATGATAAGGGGTTAAGACAGGCTGCTTAAGCCAGCGTAAGAAGATGATTGAAAAGGTGGGGAGTAAAAAAAAACAAGTCAGGTGCCCTAGGTAATTCGGCTCGCACGCTCGATTCTCCACCTTTCCCCTTCCCTTTGGTAAATAGTAAATGTCTTGTTTACCGTGGAATTGCACTGGGCTGAACCCCAACCACTGTCACTCCATCAGGAGGAAACCTTCTGGCCGGCGACATGTACAAGCGAGGCCGAGGAATAGTCCAGTTCTAGCCTATCTCGCCAGAACTGGACAAGGCTCAGAATTACCAACAGACAGATCCAGCCTGTGGTCAGAGCGGTACAGCGAGTCTGAACACTCGGCCACACTGCCCCCGTGCACCCTGACCCCTGCTCCCGGCCCTCGGGCCCCAGCCAATTCCCTTTTCATTCGAGGGTCAGTGATTATAAATGAAATAAATGGGCGGGAATTCAGTTGAACTGTTATTTCCTTCGCAGAGATCGCTTCTGCGAACTTCCGATAAAGATTCCCATTTACTTACTTATCCGTTGGGAGTTCTTTCTTTGCCAGGCCCAGCTGAAATTACAATAGAATGCGATAATGTCAACTGTTCCTGGACATATGAATCTAATAAATCATTCAAGTAAGACACTACCGGTACTACGACTCACTTTCAACCTCATCTTTGCAAGGAAACGGTTCTCAAACTCCGCATGGAATCTGAAATAAAATCAGAAGATCTATAGAAACTGGTCCTTTTTAGACCAGCAGGTTCTCTCGAGTTAAAGCGAAGGGAGAATACGCCCCCCAAATCAAGAGGTTGCCTACTCTCTGACCGTCGCACGTAATTCTGCAGCTTGACGAGTCTATTTGCGTATTTCATTTGCCACTGCCTATGTTTGTCAAAGTAAAAAAGAAAGCTTGAATGTGTAAACAATACGAAGAACACTCCGTATTCTCCTTATTTGTGTCTCATGGTCTCGTTCTTTTTTTACCATTTCGGTTTTTCATAAGTCGGCAAAATCTGGGAAACGGGAACCTTGTCCTTGTACTCATTTACTGACATCATCAGCGCTATTTCAAGTACAAGTTTGTCAATTTATAGGTCAAAGGTTAACTTTTTCTTTCGTTTTTTTAATTCCCTTTCACTATTAGCATATCTAAAAACAAAAGGAATTAAAACAAAATTTGTACCAAGGATAAAATTAAACCATATCATACTGTATGTACCGATATACCTACAGTTCTTCTAAAGAAGAGATGGATTCTTGTAGAGGCACTGCATCTTGAATGGCTTCCGCTAACTTCAGCAAATTCCACTTGAACAGCTCGGGTTGGTTCTTGAAAGAATTCCTTCGTCTAGCGTCTAAAACCAGCGCAATAATTTTTTAAAGTGAAAAATAAACGATTCTGTTCTCAGTACACAACTGACTAATATCAATGGACAGGAAATACGCGAGTTGATGTATGCCATTAGTCAAATGTTAACCAGAATACTGACAGGTCTAGTAGTGCCCATTGAAATAATGAACTACTGAAAGTTCAAGAGTTTTAAACCAAGTGATCAGTAAAACAAAAGGAAAATAGAAACAAAGTAGAAATGAGAAATAAGAAAATACTTCCAAATGAGAGAAAGGATTGGTGAAAATTTTCTTTTATTTATTTCATAGTGTCAAAACATATTAAAACAACTTGACCCGCATGTTAGTGGATATTGACTGCAGTTACCTTGGTACTCACCCGATGACTGACTGAGATAATTAGGATCATAATAATCCAGAAATCCGTACGGCCCATAATCAATTGTGACACCAATAATACTCATGTTATCAGAATTAACAACCCTGCAAGGAAATAAGAGAACACACGTGACTATGATATGTTTTCTTCGCANACCCATTGAAATAATGAACTACTGAAAGTTCAAGAGTTTTCAACCAAGTGATCAGTAAAACAAAAGGAAAACAGAAACAAAGTAGAAATGAGAAAAAAGAAAATACTTCCAAATGAGAGCAAAAGATTGGTGAAAATTTTCTTTCATTTATTTCATAGTGTCAAAACAAATAAAAACAACTTGACCCGCATGTTAGTGGATATTGACTGCAGTTAACTTGGTACTCACCCGATGACTGACTGAGATAATCAGGATCATAATAATCCAGAAATCCGTACGGCCCATAATCAATTGTGACACCAATAATACTCATGTTATCAGAATTAACAACCCTGCAAGGAAATAAGAGAACACACGTGACTATGATATGTTTTCTTCGCATTGTTTTCATTACCTCAATTCTCACCCACAGCAGAACTAGTTCTGTTGATAGAGAGCTGGTCTGCAGAGCAGAGGGTCACGGGGCTGGGCCAACACTCGTCACACTATGGGTCTTAAAATAACTGTGCTAAGCAGGAAAGTACTGCCTTTGGTAGCAAACGACTAAGACCCTGTTTACATGGAGTTGGGGACCCCGGTTTAGTGGGGTAGGTTTCTTTTGTTTTGTGTCCCCCAGAGCGTGAAAACAAAAGAAACCAACCCAACTAGACCGGGGTCCCCCACTCCATGTAAACAGGCCCTAAAACTCCACGCCGCTTGGATGACTACTTTGAAATAGCGGTGTTATCTCCAGTAGGAGACGAAAAACAGTGTCCTCAATAATTACATAATTTGCACTTAATGTATTGATAGTTGAATAAAGTTTGTTTTTCCCTGTCATATTAACTTCCAGGAATTTTTCTTGCCAACAGGGTATTTAGGACCTTCCCAAACCACGACGGCAGCGTCAAAGGGAAAAACAATACGTTTGGTGAGCAAACAGCCGCCTCTCAGTTGTTCTGTCCTGTTGAGAAGTCAATTAAAGTGCATCTTAACTGCCCCGATAAACTCTCCCCACGGCTCATTTGAAATCGAAGGTTGTACAAAATCACTTCGGTTTGTTTCTTCGACGTTTTGTTCTAAAGATTTCGGTCAGTTTGTTTTATTCATGAAAATATTGGCATTGTTGAGAAAATAACATCTCACAAGGGCCGGTTTCTAAATTTAGCAAACTGAGTATCTGATTAACAAGAGCGGTTTTGTTATACAGAAACAAGTAACTACTAACGCGGATAAAATCAAACGACGTTTCGGTATCACCGTGACGCCATTTTCAAGTTCATAAAGTGTCTGGTAGATTAACTTTTAATTAATTGCATATTTTATATTATGCCGTTAATCTTAACAGCAAATAATTATGACAGTTTATCTACCAGAAAACTTTTTGAACTTGAAAATGGCGTTAATTTTTAACTTAATATTAGCCTACTCCGCTCGCAAAATCTCTCAGTCTAAGTGAACAATCTGAGGAAGCATTGCTTAAGTAATCCACTTCCTTACCCATGGCAGAAGCCAACACATTGCCAATCAGCTGCCAGACGTGCTGTTAAAAGAACCACCTCCTTATAAAAAGAAAGGTAGCGTTCTTCCAAACTGTTATAATCTTTACAAGAAACCTGAATTAAAACGAAAAACAATAAGTCAAATGGGTAACAAATCAGAAGTCCACTTAGGTCCACCCTGAGTCATCGGCCTGTGAAAGAGGATACCAATACTAAATCTGAGAATGGTGGTTTTCACTGAATAAAGGAAAAAAGAAAAAAGAAAAAAGAAAGTAAAGACAGCCATAGAGATAACACACTGATAAAAGACTAGTTAACATATAAAAGCATTTATAATGATGACAATCAATGACTATAAGGACTTTGCAACTTACCCTACTGAAAACAATTTAGAATGGACTTCCAGAAAATTGTCAAGGGACTAGGAAGGGGATGGTACATTACAAACACTGCTATAATTGGGGCAAGAATGCATAGAGGGATTTGTAACCATAAAACACATCTCTACAAAAAGAAGCTGATTCTGAAAATGAGGAAAAGAAAAACTGTACATTCAATGTGGCACTGCCTTTGAATAAAAAATTAGTTTTCAAAGGAGAATTATTATAGGGGAGTCCCATCTTGCAAAAAATGATCCAGCAATAATGCACCTGAGTACAAATTATATATAATCTAATCATGTCATAAATTGCAGTCAAATTTCCATTTGATTAAATCATATATTGATTTACTATTAGTACACCATAAGTTCTCACTAACAATGAAAGCTTAGCACTACAACAATTATGGACCAATTAACCCATTGTAGTTGTTTTAGTATTAAAAACAAGACATTAATTAAAACAAAAGCAATAATTTACCTGTGGAAAGAAATTATTAATTGTATAGTTCAGCAGCTGATGCAGGATGTCCAGTCGTCCAGCACTTGGACCCTGGTAGCCAGTCAATGGATCCACTGTCTTAAAAATCTCAAATGAACCAAACCTAAACCAAAATAAAATAATACATGTAAATGACCTCAAGTAAAACAACAAGTGAAAGAGAAATAAAAAAAAGAAAAATGCATCATCAAGTTAACTGACTCCAGAGACATCCACAAAGAAGAGTGCAAACATCTTCACTACTGCATGCCTAACAGTGAGCTAATCATTGTAACAAATAATAATGCGACTTTGCCTCCTCGAACAGCATATTTTCGTAACAAAGAAAGGTTTAAGGTTTGAGGTGAGAGGCAGGGTGTAACTGCACTTACAGTGCTTTTATGAGTCTAATGAAAGCACCAAGTATCATATTCCATCAAGTGAGGTAAACAGTGACTACTTTGGGTACATTCTATCATTTCTAAATGCACAGGTATCCTAATACGGTGCTGTGACAAGTTAACATGACAATAAAAATAAATTCGGGCTGCACAGCTACCTACCTACCTTAGGAAAGTTGGAGCAATCCTAAGAACCAGGGAAGCTCTTTCTTTGGAAGCAGTTCCAGTGTAATTTTTATCTCTGTTGACCATAGTGTCTGATGTCACACAACAACCAGCTAAAATAGAGCGACATAACTTAAAAATTTTGCTAATGTAAATCAATGATAGCAAATCCTTCCCTTTGAACACCTCCCGACATATATTATAGCCATGATAATATATCTGCAAGAATCTCAAGTCTATAAATGTAATTTACAGTTTTACCGTGCACTTCAGTATATGAGTCATTACATATTACATAAAGTAACCATTAAATGCCGAAAGACTACAACAGATTATTTTCAACAGGAGTTTGGGGCCACTTGAATATTTTGTAAACAGTAAGTCTTGTATTCATGCGCACACGGTATCATGGTGTTGATTGCAACTAAACAGGATAGTTAAGTCCATGAAAAAGTAATGAGCCCATGTGCTAAAAGCTGACAATGAAAATTTACATTTCTGCCTCTTTTCTCTCAAGTACTATACTATTGTTATAGTGGAGCTCCAGGCATGCACAAGGCGTGCAAGAGCAGAGAAAATAGCTAGGAAGATTTGGTTATCTATACATCCAAGAAATATTGGTGGTCACATGACTATACGTTCACCTGTCCATCCATCCACACCACAGAGAAACCAATGTGAAAAGTCACAATTTCTAGCTAGTGTGGGAGCCTGCAACCTAATATAGCACACCCATGTTGTGGTCATGCAACAGCCCATGTTTGATATATTAAAATTCTAACATGACTCTGAGGCTTTCTGGGAAATGCAAAGCAACAGAGTCATGAAAATATGCAATGCAAATCCTCAGAGTCATGTTAGAATTTTATTACATCGAATGTGGGCTATTGACAGCTGTCAAGTATCTACTCACCTGTATCACATGACTGTAACATGGGCTCAGGTGTTGACCCTTCAAGGTTAGATGTTTTTTTAAAGAAATCTGCTGACAAGTAGCTAGTTTCCATCTGATCTGAGGCTCAACTCCTAGTTCATTTCTTTTGCAGTATAGTTATTGTTTGAAGTACACTATCAGTTCATTAAGGGGAGCTTCACCTTTAACCTTTGTTAAATCTTAATATTATACAGTGTAAAATAGATAAATAATATTTGAACAAGCAGAAGCACCACCCCCTCTACACTTGATCAACCTCCACTGTCACTGATAGCAAGATATTTGATAATTCCTACCACCACAAAAAATAAAAGTTAAACAAACAGTTTAAAACAGATGTTTAAAGAATTTTTACCTCTAGTTGTTGGTATTCCCAGATGATACATGGCCTGTCATTTGACAAAATAAAAAATAAAAAAAACATAAGCAAAATTAAAGAAATTTATTTTTCAAATTCTTTCTCTCTGACAGCAAGGGACATTATTTTCATCACAGCAATTTAACAAAACAGATAAACAGGTCAAGTGGGCATCCACTCTCCATACCTCACTACACAAAAGTTCTCGAATAGAAGACCTTAATACTTTACGTCCATCCCTGTGATTAGAGAACGGAGTCAGACCAGCTCCTTTCAGCTGAATCTCCCACCGATCACCTTTGCTGTTGATCACTTCACCAAGATACCTGTAGAAAGGGTAATAAAAAAACTTTGTTCCACAGGAAATGACTATAATGAACCTTAGTCATTTTCCCGCAGTTTCTCTAAGACAAACCTGTAATGATCGGACACGATTAAGACACTGGCTGGCATCCCATGGTGTTTGTTTGATACAAGTGTCACCAGGGGCATAGCCAGCCCATACAGCTGCAGGCCAGGGGCTACAAATTTTTGTTTTGATTACTCTACCCCTTGTAATAAATTATACATTGTTGGGTGAGCTAAAAAGCTTAAGAGCTAAAAGTGTTGGTGAGGTCAGTGCATACTAGTCATGTGTGCAATTTTCAGGATATGTGGAAATGAAAGTCAGCCAGGCCTACAACTAGTCAAAAAGCCGCCTACACCCCTGGTCGCTGTAGGTAGGTACTTAACCAATGTATTCAACCCATTTTAACAAATGACTAGAATACCTGAGAAATCAAACACCAAGAAACACTTAATACAAGCATCTTTTCCCAATCATGTACAGTTACCAAGCCCTAAATTAGCCTCCTACACAGTCCTTCTTTGTTCGTTATGTGTTCCTGCCCCATTATATGGTGAACAACAAACGCAGACTGGCAGGGAAAGAAGGTAACCATTGTTGTGAAATGCTTTAACAGATTCCCTATCTCTGAACTCTAGTTTAGTTTAGGGATAGGGAATCTGTTAGAGCATTTCACAACAATGTTTACCTCCTTTACCTGCCAGTCGGCAAGTCTGCAGTGTGCATTTGTTGGAGACCGCCCATGATACGGTGGGTAATGGGTTGTATGTTGAATAGGGGTTCTCATATCTTGCCGCAAGCCAGGTCCACATAGGGTAGGATAAGTCAGTTAAGGGGTAAAAATGTCTATCATCATTTATAGGGGTTAATGATTTACAGAATCCCCATGGTAACTAAAGGAAGTTGAAAAATCACAGGCAGCTTACATAGCAGCCCCATCTCCAAGTTGTCCAGAGAAATATCCGGCCTGGTGCCCGCAATAGCAATGGGCTGCGGTTTTAGAGCCAAGCAGCAACCTATTTCCACTCATACACTGCACAAATTCAGGCCTGGAAACCTCTGATAGTGGTAAATCCAACAGAGACATGGCTGGAAGAGAACAAGCCACCAGACGAGGATTTGTGACTGGTGTTGGTTCAACAAGCGAGTAGCAAGCTCCCTTGACTTGCCTGATGACATTTTTGGTCTCCTTGTCGATCGGGAGGGAGCGAAGCGCTAAATTGTCGAATTTCAAAGTCTCTAGAGTTGCCATAAGTCCACGGCGTGACATTTATGTGACATATATTTCGTATAGAGAGCCCTTGGAAGAACGACCTAGGAGCCCCGCGGACCCAACTGATGTTTTTGTCTCACTCGACGGTTATCTCGTAACAAGAGTCTTCTGGCTTTTTGGTCAGCGGGGCAACGCCAGGGAAGGGTAGGTACCAGGTGTAAGCATCATATAGTGGTTCCCCGTTAGTTAATATATGGCATAACTTTACATAGCCCTACATAGCAATACTCACCCCAACATAGCCCTACATAGCCCTACATAGCCCTACATAGCCCTACA